CAAGAACTTCCTTTCGTGCGTTCCAAGAGACGAAACAAATAAATTCTGAAGTATTTGAAAGTCTGTTTCTTGAAATGATACAATAAAAAGTAAAATAGCGTTTCATACATCATGCCTACGTGGAGTTTAATTTTTTTCATTTCGATAACATCCTGTATAGGTATAGGTTCAGTGTAGTATATGTGAAAGAAATATAAGTTCCTCATTCAAGATAATCCATCCAGAAATCAGAAATACTTTATCAGTTCCTCAAACTTCAGTTAATTTTCTCTGCAATCTGGAATGTTGAGGACAAAATCGGAGTTTTGATAGAAAGTCGATAGCTAATCAGGGAACTTGCAAGCAACCCTGCCAACATATTCGATAGAAAGTTAGTGGTCCATTAATATCACTGATGACCTTGTAATGGCAATATTTGACGATGTACAAAAAAGCTTCCTCTGCTTTCAGGGCTTTATTGATTTTAATTCAAGGGTACAAGGGGAGTATGTTACCTCATACCTACAATTGAGATGTTTATAATTCCTCTGGTGTTCCCACTCTTCAATTGTTTCGTCAGACTAACTCTCGATATTTTCTTTGATGTTCTGATTCCCACGAAAAGGGATATCCTGTAATGTTCAGAGAATATCGTGAGAACCAAGGGAAATAAGGTAGGAATTGGTGTTCTTCTTGAATTTCAGGAGGTTATATGCCTCGAGGAACACCTCCCTTGACATTGTGTCCCAAAGCCTATCTCTGTTCGTTGGATGAACGAGTCTTTGGAAGGAGATGTTCTGCAGGTCGTCAGAGTGACCACGAAGACTCAACTCGACGGGTTAATCTCGCGGGGACTGCCAAGGGAGGAACAATTGTTGATATTTCAGAAGAGCATCGTCCATGAAAATATCTATAAAATAGAGCCAGATTGACAACTTTTCTACGGTGTCCCAGAGAAGTGAGTGAGTTTGTGAGCGAGGCATCACCCACGAGACGAATTGCCCTTTTTTGGACAGAATCCAACAGTTTCAGGGTATGTTTGGGTGTTGCACTCCAAATATAGGAACAGTATTCCAGGACAGGTCGAATCTGTACCTTATAGATCATAAGTAGCTGACTGGAAGTGAAATAGCTCCTGGCCCTAAACAGAAAACCAAGTTTTTGGGATGCAAATATCAGGAATCTATCATTGGTGTCGAAATTGCGACCCAAAATGAATTTATTCATGAACCCGTATGCAAATCAAATGAACAGATAAATTCTGAAATTATTTAATTTCCAAACACAATCTGGTGTGAAATTTTCTTAACGAATATACCACACGAGGTCAAATTACTTCCCGGAAATTCTTTCTCGCTCATGAATATTACGAAAATTATCCCTCGTCTTCGACTCGAAATAATTTCCAAAATATACATGAGCTCGAACAAATTTCCGGAAATAATTTGACCTCTAGTGGTATAACAAGTGAAAATATGATGAGAAGATAAACCCTACGACTCGTATACTGCGTAGATTTCAAATAAAATTTGACACCTGAGTATAACTCGTTTTTGTTACTTAAATGTGAGTAAGAATAAATATAGTTATCAATTATACGAGGGAAAAAAGTAGGTGGTAGTAGATTTTAGTTCCAGGTTGTGTTGTTTCTCCGTCCGCTAAAAATATCGTGAGCTAATATCTAATATGTACACTATATTTTTCTGACAGGAAAAATGACGAATCAATATTGAGAAGAAAAACATCATATCAAATTCAGAAAATCACAACCAAATTGAAATTGGGAAAAAACGGACTTACCACATCGAAATTCAAACGAATCAAATTCAAATTGAAACCAATCAATTTTAAATCACGTTGTTTCCTAATTTCGTCCTGATTCTCCTCCCATCATTACGCTGTTGATTTTTTTGCCGAATGTATCAGTCACTCTCAAAAAATTATTTCAGTAAAATATCTGCACTTCATAAGAAAGCACTGAAAGTATTGTATCGCCTCTCATTTGATATCCCAACAAATATGATCTGTATGCCATAACAGAAAAATTTTCATTGGATGAATTATATAAAATAGATTCTCTCAAAGTTTCATATAATATAATAAACAATAATCTGAAATCCAATTTTATTTTGATAAGAAACTCAGAAATTCATGGTCATCACACGAGACAATCAAATTTATTTCAACTTGATTCTGCTACTTCTATAATTGGCCAAAAAAAATTTACTTACGCTGCTCTAGCTGAATTTAATAAATTACCACATAATATAAAAAACTGCAGACATATTTCAGAATTCAAAAGTTGAAATAAAAAAACACATGATTTCATTACGAAATAGATAAAATTTATACTTTGCCATCTACTGATTAGTCCCTGTGGCTATTTTTTATGACTTGATCGATTTAGCATTTTTAGATTTTTTTGATTTTGTTGTTGTTGTTGTTGTCACCTTATATTATTTTATTATTGTTGTTTGTAATCAACTTCCTCATACCAGAATTTCATTTCTGACTGAAAGCTAGTTTTTGAATAAACAATGAACAATAAACTCTCCTCCAATCACCAGTATTCATTAAACACAGCACAACTTTGATTTCTAATTCCAATATCAATTCAAATATTAAGTACAATGAATTATTGCTAATAATCAATTCCGATTTTGACACAATATTGAAAATTCATGTCCCAAATTGAAGTTGTTTGATCTCAAATTGAATGAATTTATTCTTATGTTAGCAGTGAAATGGAAATTATGATGGATGAAAATTGATCGAAACATTCTGATTTTACGTTACAATTCTTTCGCAGTTCATTTGAAAGATTTGAATATATTCGATTTTACCTATTTCAACAACAACCGTTTTCCTGTGGAGATTTCATCCAAACTGTATATTCAGTAATATGGGACAAAATCAAATTGTGAATGGTTGCAGAAATGTTTGCTCAGGACGTCTGACAATTTGAGAAATCTCCTCAATTTTATAGGGCAAGAGATTGTCCCGTCCAATTGAATTGCTACCGAATGGAAATTCTACTATTCTCGTCTTCCACTATGATAATATTGCATGGGGGTGCCTGCTCGATTTAGTTCTGAATAAAATACGATATGGATTTCAATGTACAGGGTGTACTGGTACTGGTGAAGGACGTTTGCACGTCAGCAACTAGTCCCTAATGGGACCTTTTTGCAAGCCCCAAGGTGTTTTTAATTAATGATGTGGTTCGCTTGAGATAGCTGCCTAACATCCCAATCAGGTACAGTCAATCAGCTCTCCTTCAGAGTTTTTCGGCTGTGTTTTGTAGGCTTGTAATGTACTCACTACCATAATTATTATGATGAAGTGGCAGGCCTGCCAGCTACGTCGTTAATCCCCGTTAGAGACCTAGGTCCACTAAGTAGATTTGGCCCGCTATCACGCTCAGCTGGTAGTTTTCCACACCCACCTACATACACCGTCCTACTTCTTCTCTGATGCTCACAATCACATCATCGTGAATAAAATATTGAAAAAAGTTCCTTGCTTTGGCTGGGATTCGAACCCACGACCTCGCATTCCACTGCGCCAATTCCGGCTGTAAATGAAGAACTGCGAAATAATCCGTGACTTGTGATATTGAATTGCGTAATTCAAGTGAATGTGAGCAAGCCACTCGGCAAGCCATGATTGGAATGACTACACTATAGCTCTTTCCCATCATTACACTACACATCTCAACATTTGATATATTATTCATGTGTTTATAGAAGACCATATTGATATACAGAGTGATTCAAAATTCGGTGTGAATATTTCAAGGACATATTATTGTTGCGATCAACATTAGACTTCTTCTTCCTATAATCATGCATCCTATAATCCACCTACTCCTAGCTACAGCCACTGTAAGTTAGGAATACAAAAGATTATCCGAAATTGTGAATGAAAAAACAGATTAAATCTTCCGAGAATTGGCATGCTCATGTCTTTTCAAACACTCTATATCCCAGTTTTGGAGGAGTTGGAGGAAGGTCCACACATTCATTGGCCAAAATTTCATGTTCAAAAAGGGAAACTCTGACTTCGAATAGTATAACTTTGTGGACCATGAAGAATGTATGAATTTGGTCTCTTGCATTGTTTACATACATCTAACCGTTTGCCAGAAAACCGTAAACAACGAAATGGGAAGTACAGAATAGTTTTGAGCAAAGACAAAAGTCAAAGGTGCATAGCACGAAAGACAAAAGTCGTTCGAAAATGTAGAACTCCGCAGATGCCGACACTGGCACAGCCTTTGTGTCTTTGGCAAAATGTACAAACATTGCTCTTTGCGTTTGAAAAAAGGGTCATACACCTTTGACTTTTGTCTGCTCAAAACTATTCTGTAGATTCACTTCTGGAACAGAAAAATATCAACTTGTCCCAGGGTACTTTCCCTGACTGAAGAAGACAAACCGAAGTCGAAACAAGCCACAAACTTAACAACCAAAGAATACTTTTGCTTCTTTGGATTCTCAGACTTCTGCTTTTGAACAAAAGGGTAAAACGCGCCACAAAATTCATGGAGATTCGTACGAAATCCCAAAAGTTCTTCTGCCTCTGTCGAATGAATCTGAAGCAGTAAACTATGATTTGGGTTTCACCTTAACCCAACGATATTTTAGGGTACAATGTGTGAGCTTTCGACTTTCCGGGTCTCATCAGTTAGGCGAAGAAGCCTAAGAGATAATTTAATTATTAATGAAATGGGAAGTCATGACATCATTTTCGAACGAATGGGTTGAACGCTTGCATACGGAGATGATCGTATGACGGAACGCATTTGAGACTGCTATTTAAGAGGCTCGCACTTGATTCGTTGTTGTATGCTCACAATTTCAAATAATGTGTTTTTCGAACTAATAGTAGCTGTAACTCGGAGGGAGTGTATAAATAACGAAAAAGTATTATTTTGATCCCAACAAAACGTCCACAAGGTATTCAGATCGAATTTGGAATCACTCTGTTTCATGTAGTTTTGATTGGAAAACAGTACTTACTTGTAAAATCTTGCATCTGTTGGTGGTACATGGGTCCTTATCGAGGCATGGCTGGTACATCCCAAGGGTGATACAATTGAGCAGGATCACCATCATCGAAACCCTCTCGAACCATGTGTATCTCAGTTAAGGAAATATCATGGAAGTTTGGAACTAAGCAATTTTGTGAGAAGGACCATAGATTAACGACGGTACTAAATATAGAAATATTTCGTGATGTTCCAAATCCAGTTGACTGCGTACTGCAAAATAGTTTGATCACGTAGCTGTCGGATGCATATGAGTAAAGTTTATGCAAAGTCAGTTGAACAGATCATCAAACGAATGTCGGGCCGCGCTGCCGCACTCTTTGAACGTTCAAAGGGACCGACGGCTTGCGGTTTGGTGTTTTCCAACTGACTTTGCATAAACCATACCGTGTCTTGGTTAGCTGATTAATGACTATATCTTAACTAAACACTCTTGTTCAGTGTGGTATGAACTGTACACTTGGTGAAGTTACCATGGTTTGTTACCGAAATTTGTTGCGTACCAGAATGAAATAGTAGGATGATCAAGACGATGCAAACACTTTGGTCTACTTGACTCGAGTTGAGTGCAAGGGTAATTTGTTTTATGATTCTTGAAAACAATATTCAATCCAATTTCAGGTCATTTCGAATTTTGCTTACAGGTTTTTTTGATTATTTACGTATTCGAGTGAAGTTCCACGAACTAACCGCAAAATAATAATCAAATCGAAACAAAGTTGATAACGTTAGTCAACTGAAGATACATGGTGTAAACATGCGTTAACTAAGGCAGATAACCCGAAAGATCATCTTAGTAAGCATACCAAATATCCATATGGTATAAACGTGGCCAATGTGTATCAATCCTCAGAAATGTGGAGTAATCAACGAACAGTTCAGTTCAAACAGTAACCTATGAGTTCGTCCTTGACAATACTGAAATTGAAAAAAAAGTACATCGATTATTGGAGATATTTTTCAGTTCAACCTTCCTTCCTCTTTCCACATCCAGCATTATATTCGTAATGAAATACCCAAGCTTGGTATCATGAATTTTGTTCACATAGCATAGTTATTCATAGGATTCAAGGCGGTAAAATAGACTTTTATGGACCGTAGCGTTCAAGTAAAAGCCCGAGCCATAGCAAGGGATATTTACACGCAAAGATCCTTGAAATAAAGTTATGCCCGAAATGTATACATACAACATCTAATACGACCAGTATATTTGATTATTATTGTGAATACCTCTTCACCTCTTATGCCTGATATGCCTGAAAATATTTTGTTTCAAATTTCGATTTTTGTTGTGTAAAACTAGTTCAGTATTCCAGAATGAGTAACGGAAAAATCTTGAAAATGATTTCAGAAGCTGGAGTTTCAAAAAAGACGATGTCCTTTTGAAAGGACAGTAGGCAAATGAGTGACAATACCTTGAATACAAGTTTGTCTTGGCAATATTGTGAAAAAAAATGATTCCTCAAATCATGCTAACATATATTTCTGGTGAAAGAAAAAACTGTAATACAAAATTAGTTGATCATTAAATGTACAACAATGATAGATAGTAGATAGATGGATAGCTGTTTTCTCTCGTCATCTACCATTGTTGTTCATTTTATGAACAACAGTGGAAATGACTTTGAGCTTTTTATATTTTCAACCTTTCATTCCACTTTGAGCACTGTGGCTATTTTGTAGTCGGTATAAGTTCTTTGTTCAAAGTATAAATTTTGCCTCAACTGACCTCTCAAGGATGCCAGTAAAAAATTGATCAACAAAAATCTAGGATTTTCTGTTTCAACTGTGACCTAACTTCCACAGGAAAGTAACGATATACTGAAGACCTCCCAAGACTCCCAAGAGGTGAATATATCACACGACATTACATATGACTGTCAAAGTTGAGAGAGTTTCAAGCTTTGCCAAGTCATGCGAGCAGTTATCTCGCTGGGACCGTTATAATTCGAGACGTTTCGATGGTTCTTGAGTCTCTAATGACCTTCGACTAAGTTAGTAATTAGACGTCGGCGTGAAGTCTATCGATGTTAATTAGGGTATGTCGCTTTTGCCAGGGAAATCCCGTGAGGTTTTCCGGTTGAATGGTCATCAAAATGCCATCCAGCTCGGTGAGCACAATATAGGGATTCCTATATGTGCGCTCCAACAGATATTAACAATGGTGACCACTTCATTGTATGGTTTAAATCATTGATTGGGCAAAGCGGAAATACTTTATCAGCTGGTCACGTCGTAAATGATAGAACTGATTATAGAAAATATGTCTATCGTGCTTGGTTACGAAGTTGTTGACCTTGAATGGATAAAAAACATAATTCCAATAATAACTTCCAAACGGTTTCCATGGTGTCAATGATATTGGGACAGGTAAATTAACTTATATTAATGCACCTTTCCATACGTTAACGGCTTTTCAGTGATTATATTTTGACATTTCGCTCCCACAGTTTGATCCCTTCTTCTTATTTCTACGAAAATGGTATAATAATGAAGATGATGGAAAGGCCTAATTTCGAGTGACAACGAGAAATGAAAAAACTCCAGCGCCCCGCGTGAGAGTCGAACTCACAACCTCTGGGTCACATGCCCAACGCTCTGCCAATTGAGCTAACGGGACATCCGTCGATCAATCGGCAGGAAGGTCGAGTTCTCATCACACACCATTTGGAGGGATTCAGCCGCCTGGTGTGAATCGTTCGATAGCAATGAAAAGGATGTTGGCGGATTTAGCTTCACTTTGTTGTGTAACGTATATTCATGCATTATTTGTTATCCAACAAAAATCTGAATAGCAAATCATTGAAAAATTTTCTGAATGACGAAGCTCACCAAATTGGTACGTCACACCGACGTGATTTTTAGGCGTCATAGATACGTCACTGCAACGTCATCAAAGTGACGGTCTCAATATATAGGTACACCTATATTATCATTTGTATACATACATATATAACTTGATTGGTTTCCGAGATATACAGGGTGTCGAAGTTTAAAAAAGTTTTCCCTCACTCTTTGAATATATTTAATCCCAATAAAACTTGCATGTTGATTTGTTTAAATGAGTTATACTTTTATCAACGTTAGGAGAGTATTTATAAAATAACCAAGACGTAAATGTTTTGTATATATAGGTGTGTAAAATTAATGAAAAAACGATTTTTTTTGAAAACTTTTCGACACTGAAAATGCCCATCCTGTATATATATAGGTACGTCACAAACCTAACGGTTTCACATGATAAAGTAAGTATACATGGTTTAGATATGGTATGGGGAACATGTACGACGACAGGACGTTCCTGCAACGTCATTAAACTGATGTCTTATTTTTCCCTTCTAATAGACGTTCACTTGACGTCGAGATGATGACGTGATTATCACGTCATAGAAAGAATGTCATAGTGACGTCATAAATTGGTGTGTGACGTCTCTGACGAAAAATCACCTATTAGAGACGTCACAGTGACGTGATCATTCGTCATCTGGTTGGCTGGGATGTTGTAAGTTTTTGTAATGACCTTTTAGGGGCATCCTGTATAACAAATCCGCAATGCCTCGAATGAGAATACGGAAGAAAACCATGACTGCTTGCTTTTAATCAAGTATAAATGTAGTCCTTTGTGTATGGACATGTAGCAATGCACATCACCAAATAGGATTCCTAGAAACCTCTCTTTCTCTCCGAATCCAATTTCATGCGAATTTAGCCGTTCGAAAGAGGCCATGAAGTTATCATGAACGGATTACCAACTTTTCAATTCGGCGCCAGGTAGTGATTCTATCAGAGAACGCGACTGTCCTCAAAAAGTGATAACATTAAAATAATGGATCTAATTCCAGAGAAGCGCCAGATAGTCGAACAGGGATGATCGGGAATGAAAAAGGCCCGGGGATATCGGCTGTTGGGACGGCTACTTAAAAAGCAGTTACCAAATTGGCGCTAACAGGTTTGAAAATAGTTTTTGACGGAAATGGAAAGTCAGAACCAGTTTTGGAAGTGTAATCGGAGCAATTAGAGCCGGAAATGATGGAATCGTCGCAAATGGAGCAGAGCGAAGTGACGATGATTCGGGATAAGTTGGCTTGATTTGACAGAAAAACTGTTGATTAACAACACGTGAGCCCCATTTACAGGTTTTACTTGAGTGGCATCATCGAAGAGAACTATATTGAATTTTGATCGTTATTTCGAATCATTCTGAACCCGATACCTAATATTGACTTAGAGCCATATCGAAATCGAAATGGTCGAATATCATCAACATATGGCTGACATTCTCCATTTATTTATTTATTTTCATATTACTCCAACAACAATTTTAGAATAACAATATAAATCTCAGTATATTCAATATGGAAGTTCAGACTTCACACAGCACACAGTTTTTTGCACACAGTTTTTCCAAAGCATTAGAGCAATTTGAACAATTTTCATCAATATACTGAGATGAACATGATCGTATACATCAATTGCGAATCCTGTTTGTTTCATATTGAGAAATGCTTTCATAGTTTCTTGTGATAGATATACCATGAGATTTCTGGCATAGCATCCATAGTAGATATACTATGGGAGTTCTGACACGATTTTCACTGAAAATGAAAATAACCAGAATGAAACTCACCTTTCCGCAAAAAAATAATATTACTATTATAACAATCCATTTTTACAAAATATGAACATGGCCTTATAGGGATTCCATAGTAGGTGATATCACATGAACTATTTCGAAAAATATCAGTCGAATTCATCATCAGATTCAATCTCAGTTCTCATATGATATATTTTTTTATGATAATGAAGTGGGATGCATACACATAAATGTTCTGTAATAACATTCTGGTTGAAGATCAGTTCGGATATATTTCCATCCATTGTCAGTTTAGGGTATAAGAGGTGGAACTGTCTCTCCAATACGAAATATAATTCCACACAAAATTTACTGCCACACACTCCCGAGTATCTTGAATTTTCATTTATGTTTTATACGAGACCGGATATTGATTTATGAAATTCATGTTTATATTTGGTTGATTCTGAGTTCTTTTATAGTATCAATAGTAGATATACAATGGGAGTTCTG